TGGGGGGGGTCGGGTGGACCTCTGGGCATCTCGGATCTGCCGCTTGGCTTGCCAGGGCCTCGCTGGGATGGGAGTGGGAGCCTGGCTGTTCAACAGGCTTTCGAAACCCCACGGCTGGCGGGTCCTGACAGACACGTCCACAGCACGAGGGAAGGTGTGTCCGTGGGCAGGATCCTGCCCGAGGAGGACCCCGCTTCCCCCTTGCCCTGCGACGTCCCTCGTCCCCAGACCCCAGCTCTTCTGCGCTGAAGGGACAGTGGAGAGATTTCACTTGCTGCACCTCAGAGGGAAGTGTAACAATTGGTTTTTTTTTTTTTACCTCTTTTGGGATAATTAATTATCTCGGGATTATTTTTTTTCAAGTGATTATAAGTAGCAATCTCTGGGGAGGTAGAGGCAGCTTGGATAGAAAGGCAGTGCTCAGCCTGCACATAGCAGGAGGAGGATTTTAAATTATTTTTAAATACTTCTCATGAGTGAGCAGATTTACAGTGGGCTGTAAATATTTTGCAGCACTGAGTTATAGTAGCACCGCAGAGGCCTGGGCTTGCTGGCAGCCACCACGACGATGCTGCTGTAAAGGCATTGGCGTGTGGAGAGATCTTGGTGGCGCTTATAAATCTCCCTTAAAAAAAGGTAACGAGTCAAATTGGTACGGGGAGATCTGCACCCATGGGCTGCATCTCGGGGCTCAGCCTCTCCAGCCTGTTCCACTGGGGAATAAATACAATAATGATGATGATGATAATAATACAAAGTGCTCTGGCCCCAGTGCACAGGGCAGAGTTCCACGGGGATGGAGGACTTGCACGGAGCTCTCTAAGGTGGGGCTGGGGTTGAGATGGAGCCAGGTTAGCGGTGGTGGGGCAGGACCTCTCAAAGCACTAGTCCACCGCCCTGCTCGGAGCAGCCTGGGGCAGTTCTGGAGATGCCGAGGGACGGATGGAAGTGGTTCATCCCGGGGCCGCAGCATCGCCGCGGTGCGCTCTACCTGCCCCGTGCCTCTGGTGCTACAGTAACCCTCCCCTTCCCGCTTTCTGCTACGGGAACCAGTGCAAAGCCAAAACCACGTACACCTGAGCGTCACCGTCCCTGGTTTCCTTCAGCCGTCACGCGCGGGCTGCGCGTGGCATCGGGGGCGCAGGGGGCGAGCCAGGCAGGGAGGCACTGAGCGCTGCGGAAAAGTGACTGCTAAGAGAGTGGAAACATCGGGAAAGCATCGCGTCTTCTTGCCGAAGGGCTAGAAACGAGGCTGGGAGGAAGGCTGGTACCCCGTGCCAGCACGGCGATTCGAGCATCCCTCTCCTTGCCTTGAAGGTGAGACCGAGGGCACGTGCTCCCCACCCCGCCGCAGTCCGTCCCCGCGCGGGGGAAGAAGCCTTCCTTAACCCGCGGGTTCGGCGTTTGGCTTCTAATATTTCCCTTATTCTTTCGCACAGAGATGTTCTGAAAACTTTTCTGCTTGATAAAGAGATTTGGGATCATTGCGACAGCACCGTAAATCTCCAAGTCAATATGGCGTTACCCACTTTAATAATTTTACCACCACATTGATTCTATGTATTGAAAAAAGATTTATGTCTTTTCCTGGGTTACCTACTGCAGAGAAGCTGTCATTACTGCTGTTTCTCGCAACAAGACTCTTCCCTCAGCCCCAAATTTTCTTGTCCCTCCTCCAGCACTGGAGTCCCTGTCACAGGTCCCGTTGCACTACAACTCGTGCAGAGGTTTAGATAATTGCTATTTTTCTTGGCTGTGCTCTGCAAACGTATTTAATCACTTGCAGCGGCATCTTTTGCCAAGTACCGCGTGCGTGTTTGCGAAGCCTGGTTTGATTCCGCTTTAAATATTAAATACCATTTGTTGCGTAGCTGGTTACTCGCTGTACTCCGTCAGTATGAAAATGTGCAGCTTGCTTGACGGGCGCTTTTCGAGTCGGAGATATATCGGTAGCTGGCTGAAACCGTGCGTC